TGTTTGATTGGGTCGGAGGTGTGTGTGTGTGTGTGTGTGGGGGGGGGGGGCGCTGATGATTAAATTGTGAAGTGAATCATTTGCTGCAGTGCCATTTCAGCTGGTAGATCAGATTGTAGGGGAATGTGCATGGTGTTTTGTGTGCAGAATTCATTTTCAGCCATGCGTTTACACCTAGATTTACAGCTGTTGTAATTATTTTAACTGCATTGCATTCAATTCCACATCCCCTGTTACCCCCGAGCCCTGTAATGCTCTGGTAGCTGCTCAAATTAAGGCCACACACACACACACCATTAAGTGTCTCTATAGGGCATTGGGCCACCATGAACTACCTGAGCTGCTACACTGAACTTGAAAAAACTCAACTCGATGTGGCTATTTTTCCTAACTGCTTGAACTTTAAAGGTGGTGAGTAACATTGTTCCCAGAATCACTGTGGGGCTCAGCTCGGCCCAGACATGGTGCCCAATACGCTGCCTGGGTGGTAAACATGATTTCCATGCTCAGGAAACAACCTGAGGAGATGTCGTGGCCTGTGGATTTGGATTTGTCACCTTTCTAACGCTCCTCTGTCATCACGACAGAGACACCAAAGCATAAGAGAAGTGATCTTTCTGACAGGCGTAGTTTTTTTTTGGCATTCACCTGCCCGCCGAGGGAGCGAATGGAGGTAAACGATGCCAGGACCACTCACCAGAACAGCCCTGACAGAAGCCGTCACTGTGGGAAATAAGCACTTGGGCGAATAGATTACTTTCCATGCGTGACACACATGCAGTCAACCTCTGGTCCAGAGCAGGGTGAGCGGTGACTCATTTTAACGTCCAAGTTTTTTTAGTCAATGCTTTTGTTCTTGCACAACCTTCTGCGTCAGAGAGACAGTTTATACATTAAATGCAGCTTAACACGATGCAGCTCCATCACTAGGTTACTCCTTAGATTTCTTGTGACAAGCTGCCGTCTTACACCTCACACACACGTTTGTAGTGAGTTGATTCATAGTGTCTTGTCTATTTTTTTCTTTTCTTGCATCTGGAAACGTCAGAGTGGAGTAATTCAGGATATGCATCTGTTCCTCGCAGGTGGTCACGTCGTCAGTATATCTTCCCGGCATCATCACTTCAGCTACTTTTTCTGGCCATAAATTAAATAATGTAAGTCACAGAAGATAAGATAATGAACTCAGATAATCAGCTCTCTATAAAAGTCAGAGATTACTTATTTGAGCAACAGCAGCCAAAATAACGAGCAACTGGGTCTGCCAGGGTTTTTACATACAACACTGAGCATGCTGGGATGTTAATAGCCTTCGGGACCAGTTACACAATCGTGTGGAATAAAGTTCCTGTTTTTTAATTCATTTTAGATGTCAAATGTCCTGTCAGTCAAACTAGGATTCAGAATTTATTTCCTTCTCCTTGGTTGTGGGTCAACCACAAAAAAAAGCAGTTGCTGATTTGAGTGGAACCGTTTTAAAACAAGAAAAAAATGGTTTTGGTTGTTGCACTTCAGACTTCTTCATAGGTCCAAAAAGTCTGCAGCCGAACCCGACCTGGACCTGTCTATCATTTAAAAGCTTGGACCGGGACCCGTGCAGAATCCTGCTGATTTAAAGAGCAGCATGGCTAACTTCATCCACTCTTAATCCATTTCTTGTCAAGGTGATGGATGACAATTGGGACTCAGTGTTTGCACATAACGTAAATCTGGCTTAGGACCTGTGGTAATAGAACGCGACCCTACCTTGACCCAAGTGACTGTACAACACGTGGATCCAAACCTGTGCAGGCTCCAGGTCAGTCCTACGGTTCGGACTGACCTGTGAAAACCATGACGCACTTACAAGTCCAGTGTGATCAGATTCAGGCTGAAGACACGTAGGATTTATTTACTGCTGAACTTGACAAATGATTAATCGGCAACATAAACGAACATTGTGAGGATTTACTGTTTGGTATCGTTATATGTATCAGCTATAGCTGAGTTTGGGAGTTTATAATTTAAAGGCATCACCTTGGACTCTTGGACAATGTGATGGGCATCTTTTGACCTTTTATTGGATAAGTGCAATGCCTGTGTTAACCCTGCATGTTCAGAATGGGTCGTTTGCTCGTCCAGTCGTGATCCTGGTTGCAGCTTTCTTTCCTTCCTAACTGGAGAATCAGTTGTTTTTGTGAACGAACCCATTGTTGTGAACGTGCTTTTGTCTTGATGGACAATGTCACTTACATTGATGTGTCTCAGCTGCAGCTGCTACAGAGCGCCGGCCGCCTGTTTATTCAAATGTGATTAATATTGAACATATCATGTGTCCATATTGCACCAAGTTCATCCCTGCACTGGCAAATAACAATAACAATATTCATAAGTGTGGACCCAATAAGATGAGCGGTCCTTGAGATATGCAAACCAGACACAGACAGAGATTTCTGGAAATATTAGATAAACACGTTACTGGTTGATTATTCAAAAACAAAACAATGAAGATATGAATCCCTCATGAAGATAATAGAATAAGTTTCACTTCTAGAGTAGGTTTCACCTTTTATTTAATAGATGACTATGTCACCTTCTGACGAGCCCCAACACGTCTTCATATAATGGCGGCATTTGTTAAACTACAGCAGGTCTTTCCGTCCTGAAACTATACTGTGATTTAGATTAATGCCCATTTTTTAAAAGTGTTGGGTTTCAGCCTGTCAACAGCAAATATGCTGATTCATTTCCAAACGACTATCTTCTCCTCTGCACTTATGCTTGTGGCGACTGATGGGGGCAGTCAGTGTTTTTGAGGGATATGCTTGACTATACGGGGGCACTGTTGTGTTGTTTCATCAATTTATATTGTCGTCCCAGCCTCCTGCACGCTCCTCCGTGTGATATGAGGATTGGTGTTGGGAGTGGTGATAATTTATGGCTGAGGTCCCTCCAGGCTTGTGCTTTTTATCTTAACTAATACAGAGGGATTGTGTGCATTTCTTTGCAGCATGTGTCTGCGTGACATAAATAAGCAAGTGGGATGCAGCCCGAGATTAGACTGACTTCCAGCCGGCTCCATTTTGATAGATAACAGTCTGTATCTTTCCAGTAGCACCTCCGCAAAACATGTGTTTGTGTCGAGTCAAGAGACAGGCCAATCTGAGCGGGTCGGACTGCTGGGGTGTGAAAGAGTCCGACGCATGCCAGGCTGCAGAGACTTAGTATTCACTGTGGCAGCTTAAGTTATGCCTTTGTGCACCAGAAAGAGGATTATTCAGCGAATCCCGCTCTGTGTCATTCACAAGTCTGCATTTCTAAATCAACAAATATTAACGTATGCAGAGGCTGTGTCTGTGTGTGTCTGTGGATCCAGTGCTGCAAGTACTGTACAGCCTAGCACCATGCAACACTGATGATTCCTGTGAAGAAATCATAACTTATGGCACGAATGTCATAATGACTCATTGACTGTTTTGACTGCAGCCGTTGGTGCCGTATTTCACCATCTGTGTTGTGCACCATGTGTCGGCAGTGGCCTGCAGCAGCTACCAGCCTTCAACTCCAATGAGAGCCTCTGAGAGAAAGAGTATGCTCAGGCTGCGGGTGCCAGTGTTTCTGCCTCTTCAGCAACCAGCTACATCCTGCACACGCCGCCCATAGATTCCCCTGCACTAAGTACACATGTGCAGTTGAGCAACATTCTCCCGTCAACTTCACTGTATGTGATTAGAGTTATGGTGGAGCTGCGATGCGAGGCACAGCTGAGTACCGCCCACTGCTCTGAAGAATGCATAATCACAGTAAACAATGCCCTAAAGGCAATCATAGCTTTCTACAGTTACACTGCTTTTTCTTTTTTAGCATTTCAGAAGTTT